TTACAAGGGAAGTGTCATCAACTGCTGGTGCAAATGGACAACTAAATGAACCATATGTACTCGTTCTGTACAGTCAGTTGTGGACTGCTTGAGGATGTTGCTGCTCATCAGTGGAGCACGTTAGCCTGGCATGGTGTTTGGTAACAGTACAGGCTGTGTTTGTGTTGCCTTACCTGTAATGGAAGAGTGGGAAGCTCACATGGACCTATGGCTCCACCAGGAGAAGACCAAAGACGTGATATTATATCCATTGCTGAGGGACTAATGATGTCTGTCTGGGAGCTGAGAGGCCTTGCTGGGAAGAGGTCAACGTGACAACACATGGAAGAGAGCCAAGAAAACAGAGAATAGACAAGAAGTTGCAAGCCTGAGACCACCTTGGCGGCGAGTAGGGAACTGTCAGAATTGGGGACTGAAATTGTGAACTGTACATTGCTGGCATGACATATCCATGGGTTGGTTTCCAAAAGTACTTCTACTCAGCACTTAATGCACTTAATCCTGTACTTGTTATTAGTTATGATAGAAGTCACATTGTTCTTTATTTTTATATACTTTGTTTCAAAAGGAAAGAGTGTGGGTAGGTGCCCAGTTGAACATGTTGCCTGTGTTGCTAACAGCTGTGGTGGCTTCCAGCCAGAAGGGATTGAGCTTTCTGAGCACCCAGAGTGGTCTGAATGTCCTTGGAGGAAGGCAGGCAGACCAGGGGGTGGCTTGTGAGCAAGAGGTCCTGCTGGAGCACACAGCCCCACAGAGCTGAGGCCCCAGCAGTGCTGGCAGAAGGGAGACAAACAAGTGCCTCTGCTGCTGTTCTCCAGTATGTAAACTGCCAGATAAGATCCTGCTGTGCTTGGTCAGCTTGCATAGGGATCAAGGCTAATTTGGGTAGTCTAGTAAAAGCAGGAGATGAAATAAACGAAAGGGGACAACCAGGAGTCTTGGGAAACCAGGCTGCCTGCATCTGGTATCCCTGCCAGTAACACCATATAAGGCTGGAACTGCCTGGGTAAAGGCATCAGAAATACCACAGTTAGGTATGGCTGTAGCAAAACCAGGACCAATGGGGAGGAGGTAACTGGGGGCAGTTTGTTTATTTGGGAAGGATTTGAGTGGAGGAGAGGAGGTAGCAAAGGTGGGCCGTGATGCTGAAGAAGAAAGGATGAGGTGTGAAGTCCAGTGAATAAGACCAGAGGGCTCCAGCTGATGGTAGAAGTGTGGACATCTATGGCCTGTAACAATGATGACCTGCAGATTCCAGGCCTGGGAGGCTGGAAGGTATCACCTAGGATAACTCACTGGACTCACTCACTCCATTAGGTCTATGGCCATATGTTGTGGCATGGAGGAATGAACCTGCACCTTGGGACTTAAAAAGCCTGCTATTGACTGTTGGCTGTGTGTGAGAATTATTAGATCTGAAATTGAGAGTTTGTAATTTCATAGCTGTGCCTTACAGTTTTCATAAATATGTAACTTGATCAGTGTATGGTACTTAGGTTATTTTTCTGTTTGTCTGTTTTCCTTCTAGTGTGTTCACCAGTCAATAAACAGCATGCCTCAGTTATGTCTTGGGTAACTGGTCTGAAGAGGAGAGCTGCACCTCAGCACAGTCACAGAGCTGTGGTCCATGGGGTCCAGCTGCCATGGGAGTGCTGCTTGACACGAGCCTTCCTCTAACAGGCCTGAGTGTCCCAGAGAGCACTTAATCCTGTACTAACAGGCCCAGAACCAGGTCTGACCATCACTTACCCAGGAACACCATTATTGGCCTGCCTGTGCACAGTCAGAGAGGCAGAAATCCATGTATGTAGTGGCCAAGCAGAAATTGCTGATAACCATGATAAACCATCAAGGCTGCTACGGGTTCCCCAAGTTCTCCCACTTTGCCCAACATTAAAGAGCAGCACCAACAGCCTGCCAGGGTGGTCATGGTAGATGTGGTCTTGGGTAAGATGCCCACAGCCTCCAGTTGCTTTAGAAGAGCAGCAGTCACTCAGTGCAACAAACAAAAATATGTTAAAATTTTTAGAAGAATGAGAGTAATGGTCTGCTGAGGTGTTGGGTCTTACATGATGGGCAAATTAAGTCTGTCCTTGAAATGGGGTAAATTAAACAATTCACAACAATTTAAGTAATTTTAAACCCATGATTCTTACAAGAGTAAAATGATGGTGTAATTACCAGTGTAATTCCTTCTTTTCCATGAAGTACCCTAGAATCAATATAATTATGGGAGATACTTTTTTTTTTTAAGGGAAGACTAAAATGGTATTACTGATTCATCAAGAATCTGCCTCTCAAGCATCAATACAATCACAAAAAGAAAAAAAGATAAATGAATGCATATCACAAGGCATACTTATTCAGGATGTTCCTGTTTTGTGTCATTTCAGTTAACAGCAGGTACCACATTGGTGGGTCAATACTAAACCTCTCCAAGTGTGCACACTTACCTTCTTCTCTAGAATAGCCTCAGAGTCCATTAGCTACTTCCATCTAAAACTGGACATACTGGGTAAACCATATGCAGTCAGTAGATGGCACCAAATCATTACTATTACCTGTACTTTACAGCTAAATGCAACAGTGTGTCTCAGCTCCAAAGAACTCGGGCTCTAATCATGAGGTGAGAGACAACAGGGGGATGGCAGCAGGGAGGTGGAGAGAAGATGCTCAGTGGCAGGTGGTGCACACCCAGAACCCTGCTGCACTCCCACAAAGGTGAAGCCCTGAGCAGTCTTGCCAGCCTTGCCCACACACAACTCCAGGGATGGAACAAACACTCCTGCTGGCCCTGGAGAAGGCAGATGTGCAGTTTAGTCACTGCAGAGACACATCACATTAATAACCACCACACTGTAATCAAGTACCACTCTTCATTACTTTGTTCAGTTTGTGAATCATCTCTGTAGCCTAAAGCAGGGACATCTTACCACTGAAAGAATGTCACTTAGCTGGGAGGAGACACAACCTATTGAAGCTGCAAGAAGTACATAATAGGTTTTTGATTTTTTTTTTAAAGTCTGATCCTTCCCACTTTCCCTCTTGCATCAGTCATGATACATCAGTACCAAGTATCTTGGATAAGGTGAGTGTTAAAGTGGCTGTTTATATCGTACCCCACCAAACTAACACCACTAAAGCTTTCCTGTGTAGTACTGCACAAACTGACAAAGCATCCAGCAAAAGCGTTTCCTCACTTTGCAGCACAGCCATCCCCAGCAGGGAGCTACCAAGGAGTCAGAGCCAGGCCAAGTGTCAGAACCCAAAGGACAAGATCTTGTGATGGAACAGTGCACAAATACTCCCACCTCCCCCCTTTTCCCAACAGGGACTGAGGGTAAAGGTAGCCCCACCTTTGCTGCTGCTGCCTCCTCAGAGTAGAGAGAGAAAGCAAGTGACAAGGGAAGGGATATTGAGACATCCCCCTGCCAGCTTCTTTGGACAGCTGCTTCTGCTAGTCCTGGTGTCTCATGTACAAACTGACACACAAGACCTGGTGCTGTGGGGACACGCACAGCTGGTGCATTTTTTCACCTGAACAGGCAGTAGACCATTTCAGCTTTGTATCTTCGGAGCTACTTTTGTCCTGTGTTTGATGTCTTCCATGTGCTTTTCCACAGCCAACTGCAAGGGCTCAGCACCACCCTGAAGTCTGTCCATCAGTCAGACCCTTCTGCAAATATTTAAAAGTTCACATATCTTACAATAATGTCAGTCTCAAAACACTCAAGTCTAAAATTAAAGTTTATTTCAGCTGTAAAAAGAAACAGGGAAATATGTACATAAGTATCTTAAGAGTTACACAAGTGATAATGTGCCGTTTCTTTTCCATGTGTAATTCCCACTGCCTGGCACTTGGAGATAACTTATTTCTCAATGCCTTTTAGATGTTTGACAATACACACAAAAATACAGCTTCCAGTGGAAATCCCAGAAATTGTAATCCACCTCAGAAGGTCAATTTTTAAATTTTGTTCAGTATTTGGTATAGAAAAGACACCTCAAACATGACCTGGGCCAGCAGTGTGCCTGTAAGGCTGGTGAGTGATACTCTGAAAGCAGGCAGCTGCCTTCCACCTGCACAGAGCTGGCAAACTGAGGCTGCCGGACCCAGCACTGCTCGAGAGCAGAGGTGCTGTGCGGCCTGTCGTCCATCAGTCCCAGGAACAGCATCTGACTGCAGGATTTAAAGTTGTTCTTTCCACCTGAATGGCTTACCCAATACTTCTTTGCAGACGCAGCTCCAAGTGCAACCAAAGGGAACTTTGCCTGATCAAGGAAAACGGGGCTGCACTTTGCTTTACATACAAGCAATCAAAGAAGTACGGACCACTGATCGACAAAGGGTACAATCAGGGGGCTATTTAGATGACACATTATCTGTATGGAATACAGCTTATCATATACTTTCAGTATGAATACAGGGTCTTTGTATTAATACTTTTTTTAAAAAATGGTCATATTGATTTACCTGGCTCAATTTGAAAGATTAAACTCTTTGCCACTCATTCAACATCTTTTGCACTTAAAGGGTCTTTAATTCCCATGTGGAGAACAGCACTTTAAGCACATGTGACTGTGCCTGATGTCAGGCCAATGTTGGAGCTCTTTACTGGACTGGGACTAAGGCCAACATCTTGCATGACTGAGCACTGGAGACATTAAAAGAAAAGCAATAACAACAAAATCAACTCACTGTGATTAATTCTGGACTCTGAATTTAAGTACTCACATTGAGCAGTCAAGTCTCCCTGCGTGTTCAGTAGGGGAGAGAAACTATTCTTTCTTCTCTTAACCCATTATATGTGGTAGGTAGGAAACTAGTTCCCCTACTTCAGCATTACACTCAGATGCCCCTCAGCAGGAGTTAATTAGTTCAAATAATGTTCTTCATAAAAATGTGTTAGTGAAATTAACCTGTACTAGCTCTAGCTAATCAGTGTTTGCTCTCAGTAAAAATACTGGTTAATAAGTAAAACAAATGCCTTCAACAGAAATGGTGGTTAAAATATTTTATTTTTTTATATAATAGAACATACTGCTGTTTACTTTAAATCACTTTAGAGTAAAGGCACACATTGTTAAAAATACTTCAAATTTACATCACATGTACAAATGCATAAAACAGATGTACATGTCACCAAAAAAATACAATATGGCTTCATAAGGTTGAGGCGGGGCTGGGACAATTCAACATATATTTAAATTTTACAGGATGCTGTCAACACTGAAAGGACTGACTAGAACAGAAGAGAATGGACCTAAAGCACTGATTATGTTATATAAATGGAACAACACATTGAATATACAACATCGAGAATTTGTGTATGGATTCATAGAATTGTTAGTTCTGCAAATTCATCACTTTCCAGTGCCACTGAGTAAACAGTGCATGCATATGATCTGCCAATTTGCAACAGTGGGAAGATAAATTGCAAATTCTCCATGCACAAACAGGTTCCTTGAAGAATCTGCTGATATGCTTTGTAAAGAAAAAAAAATGAAACAATAGACTAAAGGTACTGACTGGAAAGAATAACTGAATAACAAACAGACAACTCAGATGATAATCACTTCTGGCTAAAAAGCATAAAACATTACATCTGCAAGAATGCTCCATGACAATCATTTAGCATTAGTCCCACCCAAGTTTAAGGCTCCTATCTAAAATTTACCTTAGATTTGTTTTCCTTCTTGTAAAAGTACCTGAGCACAGATATCAAAGATCTCCAGAACTTTTAAAATATCTGCAGATACTTTAAAAATCTGTAGATAACTTAAAGCAAAAACATCAATATATTGAATTCTACCAGCTAAATATTCTCAAAAAAACAACCAACAGAACAACATTTTGGTAAGTCAGTAAAGCCAGGAGAAGAGTAAGCTTAAGCTTTTGCTTTCTTCTTTTAAAAATGTACATAAAATGTAATAGAATTATTCAAATAGGACTGCTTCATTATAAACAATACATTAAAATGTTTTTTAAAAACAGGAATGAAAATTCAGGCAGTCACTCTACTCTTCTATAAATTGTTTACAAATGCTGCTTTTCCTCTTGCGAAAAATGGCTGGTGGTTTCTTAAGCACTGATAGATAGAAAATAAAAGGACCTGCCCCCACTGTATTCTGTATTATCATTTACATTTTGTGTCCAAGAACCATGAATTGCATGAATTGCTGTCATTCTCATTTGCAAAGGTTTATTCCCCACACAACTGTAAGGCCCAGAAAAGCACCTAGCATCATCTTAAGAGCTCTGCAGGATCGAGTTAGATTCAGTAAGTGTAAAGATAAACATGCACTTTAATAATTTGCTGCACTGGAACTCATAAAATTTTCAAAGTGTCAAGGCAGAAAAGCATCAGGTTGCATGGACAGACCAGCTCCCAGCAAAGTCAATGCCATCACAGAGAGGAGCATCAGACCCTTAAGTTAATTTTAAAAGGTCAAAAAAGACAACACTGCACAGAAGATACAGGTACATACTTTCAGCAAACAAAAGACTGTACAGGACCATTTCCAACACATAGCTTTGGAAATACATCCCACTGAAAGTGGTCTGTTGATTTTATTGAGCCAACTGAAAACAACAAAGAAACACAAAACACATCACCTTTTCCTCCTCCTGCCTCACACACTGGTTCCCATCTTTCATTCCCAAAAGCAATTAATACAGATAAAAACCTCACTTTAAGCAACTGTATATGAGCCTGAGAAGCAAATGGGACTTCCATTCAAATACATCAGGTTAAAACTTTGATATGTCAATATTATCTGTATTGTTGAACTGGGACTAGCTGATCGCAGAGGGCACTTTACAATCACTGACAATCCTGTATAAAAAGAGGGTACAAAAAAATTCCTATAAAATATTAAATTAGAATTTAAAAAAAATAAAGAAAGAAATAGATTGATGATGGATGACTGTTCTGGATAATTAACAAAGAAAATAACAGCAGTCTGTAGTACCCATAATTCTATGTATAAATAGCAGGTAATACAAATCAAATGCTACAGCTAGTTTGAAAAACTAAATTGAACATTGCTTTCCTATTAAATAGATTCAAATATTCATCCACCGAGAAATTACATTGATAAATAAAATATTTTCATGTATCAAAAATGAGGGGCAGGTACTATCAATTCCAGACTTCTTACCCAAATATGAAAGGTCTGAGAAACAAAAGTAAATTGTACAGTAGTTCTAGCCTCTTAAATTTACAATACTGAATCCAGCAGGATGTGGCTAAATAATACAGTTTAAATAAGCTAATCTAAAGGAACAGAGTGTCCTGTAAACATCTGACACAAACCACATTGCATTCTGATGGGGTGGCTATTCCTTCTCTATGCAGAAGAAAGACAATTCAACTGATGATGGTAATGAGGGATGCAATCTAAAGGCAACGTTCCTGTTCTTCAATAAGGCTTGTAAAAAATTTGAGCAGTGTACGTATGACAGCCTGTACAACTCTGAAATTCCTGGAAAGCTCTTGAATTTAAAAAAAAAAGCCTAAATGTTTTACGTATAAAACACACATTGAGAAGATGTCCTTTTAAATTATGTGTAAAAGTGTCTGGCACCAGAAACAACCACTTGGTATTATTATACCTAAGAAAATAAAAGCAAAGAATCACTCAAGACAAGTGTCCCTGAACTTCGGCAGAGATGCAGCTGATTTAGGTTACTTGGTGTTGTTCTGTTCCTCTGGAAAAGAAGTCGTGAACACACACTCTTTAAGCTGCCTGTACTACATCATCAGTAATATATATATTATATATACAGTATGCATATATAATATATATATCTGCATACACATTTCTTTTAGCTCAATCTGGAATCATCTGGTTTCATGCAACACACTTACCAGGAATCAAAACTATTAATTAGGTCATAGCTGGTGTGACTTTAGTATCAAATCTTTTACTATATAGTGATTGACATTGCTCAGCATCAATCAGCTCTGACTGGAATCCTCATCTTCTTTCAGTCCAGTTCACGAGTTGCCTCTATCACCCTTTTTTCAGCCCCTTTCTTCACACAGTGCCTCCACTGGATGTTCAATGCTGAGGCACCTCTGTCAGCCTCTGAAGATAGCTCTGTGCTGCTGGCATTGAGAGAACAAACTGAACTGTCCTGTGACCTATTCGGTAGCAGCCGTATCCCAGCAGTCCAAAAACTGTTGCTTTTAAGACAAATTTGAAAATCTTACTTGAAGTTGATGGAGGAGGCACACTGAAACAAAAGATAAAAAACAATATTAATATTTGCATGGCTGGTAAGAGCAGGCATTTTCCAATCAAAAAAAGGATCTTTTCTCTCCCTTTCCCCCTTATAGTGCAGGAAATTTTCAGGTAACAGATGCATCATGCATTAACAGTGTATTCTTTCATGTTCAAGGGCTACCTACAAATTAAATAACAATAATAAAGCCTTTTCTATTTATGTATGATGCCACTCTTAATGGTTAGTCTCTCTAAATCATATTTTAGACACCTAAATACACCATCTAGGCAGGTCACTGTTTTTTCTGATTTTCACAGACTGAAGAGATGGGTGAGTTGGTTACATAAACACAGTAAACACATGTGATAAGGTAAAGTGTCAATATTTGAAAGGCTCTATTACCCTAAAGCACCACAGACCAATACTACCAGGTCATATTATAATACCTTCTGTATTTCTGAAGTCCTGACCTTTGTGGCTTTATAGGATACGCAGTCTGAACATTTTTGTTCTTCAATTCTGCCTTTTAAAAAGCACATACATCTATTTTAATAGGTATCCGGAGCAAGAGTTCACCAGATACATGGCTTAAATCAGCCCATATTTAGGTATACACATTAAAACAAGTCATTGCTTACATATACAGTTAAGAATAGGCTACAAGCAACTGTGACACTAAGCTTGCCAGAGCCAGCAGTGTCCTGACACAACAAAAGCTTTAAATCCAATAGTTTATATTTACCTAAGGTAGACTGGCAGCCTGGTTTTGTTTTCACCATCTTCTACAGCCCCAATTTGAATTCTCATTTTAAAAGACTGTAATGAGGACCAATTAATTTACTTTCTAGATAAGGACATTCTCATCTCTACTTCCCTCCATATTCAACTATTGACCTTTTTCCTTTGATATTTTTCTTTGCTGTAAGCACAGTGTGCAAGCACTGCAGAGCAAGTCAGTGAGCTGACAGGGTAGAGATGACAGCAGTGATGTTTCTTCAAGCCATGACGACCAACCAAAAAACCTCCAAAGAAACTAATTACTACTGGTTTTTAGCAAAAGAAGCAGTTACATCAACATGTAGGAAAGGACGACTGTTACCTCATTATTTCCTGGATCTTTAAGTCAGAATTCCAGTTCTTCTCAATTCCAGGTACATGACCCATGCCAACAACACCAACTACAACAGCTGGGATATACCTTCTAGGCTCATCTGAGACAGAGAGGTGGAGAAAAGGGAACATACTCATAAAAGAATTTCAAGCCAGAAATAAATAGCAATGCGTGAGAATACAAAATTCATTTTTCCAGGACACGGGGACTCTTATGACCAGATACTGAAACCCTGTTACATACTCATCTCACCTACTGCCTCTTTCACTGAAAGTCTGAAAAAATCAGCACAGTTTTTAGATTTTCAAGAATCACTTGTTTTGTAAACAGACATGGTTGGTGCTCATACTCCAGCCTCAGGGTGAAAGGCTCAGCAGATGCAAGGTAAATTAATTTCTTTCTTTCTCTGGGTAGGTCATGTTTCTTTACTGCTTATCAGGAACAGCCCTGGTCTTTGCTGTCTACTGAACAGAGAGCTTTCTCCACCACTATGGACACTGGCAGCTGGCACACACCCAAACTGTGACAACACTTGGGCTAACAATTTGAGAACAACGCTCAAGTCTGTGAAGTAGACCTGGCCTCAGCAACTGCAAAACCCAGACCATTGACATGCAGCAGTTGACCAGTCATCCTTAGACCACTGCAACATGTGCCAACTCTCACCCTCACCTCCCAGCTACCATCCAAATTTCACAACACCCAGTGGAGATCAAAATATTGTTCCTGCTCTACATGGTATCAACTGAAGAGATTAACATCCATTTTTAACTTTTTTAAGCACTGTATCTTATGTGACATGTGGCATTCATTAATAGAACATCCCAGATTTCCTGAGAACTGAACTTTGGACCAGTACACAGAGAACACCTTGCTGGTTATGATATCTGTTTTAAAACAATTACTTTCTGAAGCTCGAGGTAGTTCTATCTGCTTTGCTGCTTGCTTCAGCATGTATGTCAAGTAAATATCTCGTTCTGAGACAATCGTTCGATGAAGATCAGGGAATTCTCCAATCATTTCTGCCATCATCTGCTCCAGTAAATCCTTCTGTTTGCATTTCTCCACATCATCTTTACTGAAAGAAAGGTAAGTTTTCTCAGTATCTGTTATGTTTTTAGAGGCCAACACAGACAAATCAATGAATAAAAACAATTGGGCATTATACACATTATTTACCTAAACACATGTTCTACAGTTCTCCTACCTCCGTTATCCTTTCCAAAAGGGAAACAATCTCCATAAACCTGTAAAACTGGATACCTAACAATGCCTCTACAGTGAGGCAAAGGGAAAGAAGAAAGGTCACTTGCCTTTAGCCAGTTCAACTGGATTTTTCCCCTTCCCACTTTAAAAGCTGACAACTCAACTCAGCAAGACCACTAGGGCTTCAAAAGCAACACTTATGGTGCCCACTTTCAGTCTGTGTTAAAAGCTTAGAAGAGCCAACACAGAGCACTTCTGAGGAAGCAGATCACTGAACACACAGAGGCTCTACTTAAGGAACAAAAAAAGCACACCATAAGGGACAGTCTGAGGGGATGGAAAGATATGTGCAGATTCCTAGTGTCAATCACAGGTCTTCAGCAAAGAAGTCAAAGTTTTAACTCAATTCCCAGAACAGAATAGAAAATGGGCAGGAAATGAAAAGTAAGAACTGCAGGAGTAAATGTAAGGAGCTTTTCTAATTTTTGTAGGTGCTGTAAACCCTTCTGCTTGCACCCACAGCTGTGGTACAGCCATAGCTTGCAGCAACAGAATTATCTGGTTTTGTATGTCTACTGAAGAATTATGTCAAACACACTTCCTTTAGTTTCCAAGATGAAAAGGACATTACAAATGTCAACAGAGGAACTGAAAGCAGAAATGCACTGCTAGCTTCCAACAGATCACAGAAACATCATGTTGAATTATTACTCCATTTTCCACAGAATCTCGTGTGCATGGCTGGCACAGTATTCCTCCCCCCACCGCATGCTCCCCAATGATTTCCCAATTATAAAAACCTTTCCTTTTCAACCTCTATCCACATGTTATGTTTAAAAATCAATTGTATGACAACAACTGAGATGTTACGGCCAAGTTTCAGTGGGAAGCTGGCATGTATATACCATAATTATCTTAGTATTGCAGTTGAAAACCAAAATGTTCTTAGGATGGATGAAGAATGGGAGAAAATGCACAGGAATATACCCTCTGATGTCCCCCAAAAGCTTGGAATGAGTCTCATGCTGGTATTAGACCAGTAGTAGTAAGAAAGTGAAAAGTAGTAAGAAAACTTACTTCGTGCATGAACTATAGTTAATGGCTTGAAAGAAAGTCAAACTCATTTTACAGATTAATGTAACAGCAAGTATTTACTGGAAATCACAATTAAGTAAATGATAAAACTGCAAAACAGGTCTGACTGACACGAATACAGTTTGAACCCTGGCCCAACTTTAAAAGCCTGTAAAAAAATGCCATATATCACTGCATGAGCTGTGCAGAGTTCCAGTCACAGGGTATGAGAGAGGCACTGAGATTCAGGGACCAAGAATTTTAAGAAGTTTTTTGTAAGTTCACCAGGAACTCTCCAGCACCAAATCTTTCGCTTCATCGGGAAGTAAGGCATCAAACAACAATTAAAGAAAGAGCTGGAACAAGATCAGGAAAGAAGCTTTCTTTTCAAAAATACCTGTTATTGCAGGGTAGTTTGTACATTTATCCTTCTTGCTAACTTCAAATTTTATTGCATCAGGCTGTGTACCCTTATACTAAAGTCAAACTGAGGAACTGAACAATTCACCCTGACAAACATATGGGATGCTTATTCATACCTGATTGGGTCAGACAAGAAGCAAAGGCCCCAACCAAGCTTGACTTTTTGCCAGAAGGAAAGTGCAGCAATTGCTCTCTTAAATGTAACAGGGATGGGTCGGTCACCAAGATGGAATTTACAGAAGGGTACTTTACTGGCCTGAAAGAGAAGATATAAATCACTAGTCAACATTTCATACTGCAGCACAGTATATCCTTATTAATGGAATGTTAACGTTTTATTGTGTCATACAAGGTACCTTGAAAAAGAGCAAGTAGTGTCATACTTCAACATAAAAAAATATTTTGGCTTTGAAGTAAATAAAATTTACAAAATACTACTTCATAAAGGAATAAATCAGCTACACAATATAGTAGGTATTACAGTTAAAACACTAAGTTGTAATGCCACACTCTTTAGGTTAGTTTTACTGAAGCAGAAAGCTTCTGCTTACCACTACATAAGGTGAGCAATGGGGCTTGATATCTATCTGGGTCTGAATAAAGTTAAGGTGAAACAACTGCAATCATTTCACTTTTACCTAGGATTTGTCAGGATCATTAATTTTTCAGTTTGTCACGGTAAAATATATTCAAGAAGGAGGTTATGAAACAAGAACTGATACCACGAGATAACGTGAGGCGACACTTGGCTGTAGCTCATACTGACAAATTTTAGTGCAGCACAGACTTTCTAGAAAATTATTTCCTATGCACAGTTGTTTAAAAATTTCAAGCAATCACTTTAGAATAGGACAGAGCTATTTTTTTCTTCTTTCCCACTTAAAATGTTGCATTCTGGTCTAGAATGTTCAGGAAAATACACCTGGAAAAAGTTTTCTTTTTATTAAGAATAAATACACTAAATTATTCCAGATTCTTTATCAGCAATGTTATCTCAGATTTTCCTATTAATACATAATTTCCCTAAAAACAGCAAGATGCATTCTGCAATGAGGATATGTACATGGAAAATAGTGTCCCAGTGCTCCCAGACAAAAAAAGAAAAAGATTAGCGTGATACATAGCTACATTTAATTCCATGTATCACAGATGACAGTAGTACAAAAGGGAAAGTTAGAAGACCAGATAGGAGTAACAAACCAGTCAGATATTTCACTTCCCCAATCCTTCTGGATTAATGTGTTAGATCTCATTAATACTTTAGAGCTGGTTTTCACAGTCTGAAATCCTGACACCACCAACAGTGGGACCACGATCAATACTCAGAATTCAAAAACAATTACTTTAAAGGAACTAAATTATTATTGAAAACAAGTGCCATCAGAAATATCATCGAGAAAAACCCTTATTGTTTGAAGCCTTTTTGGAGTTGCTTTCATACCACTTACGGTTACAAACTTTTGTGCCTTTGAGTACACTTTGAAGCTGAAAATGATTCTTACTATTTCATTGGCTTCAGCAGAGCTATGGCCAGAGTGCTCTTTTGAGTTAGTGACAAAATGATTTTATTTAGTTCAACTCTGAGAGCAAAAGGCCAGTAATCTGACCTCAGAAAAGCCATTTCAAGTTCACACCTCTTTGAAAGCCTCCCTGAATTCTCCTCCTGGGGCCATTCCCAGCTGTTCTGTGATGTGAGCAGAAACCTTCAGAAGCAGCATTTGCATCAATCCAGACATGACTCCATTCTGGCAGAAGAGGAAGAAAAACAAAAAAAATAAATCAATAAACTGTGTGGATTTCTAAGAATGCACTATTCACAGTAATGAAAAAAAATCATTATTTTTATGAAGAAGCAGCACTGAAGCTATCTTTGGAGCCAATTCACTGATCAATACAGTTCATATTTCAGTTTTTATCAGTTTACCTCACTGTGCAGCCAAAGTATTCTCACCTTCAACAAAAACGTATGGCAGAGTTAAGAAAAGAAAGGAGGACAGCCAGACTTAATTCAGTCTATATTTACTCTGCCTGCTTGAAGAAACTATCTGAATAACTTTTCTGGATACAAAAAAATAAAGGGATCACAAGAGTATATTCCATTGAATGCACAGTGAACACCACGTCATACAGATAGTGAAGTGAATATCCAGTGGGCTAATCACAGACACATCCATAATCCTGGAAAACACTAGACTGAGGACTGGTTAGGTTAACAGATGCAGAAACAGAGAATCTAGCATTGTACAAGAAATTGCAGTTCATGACTGGCATATAAGACCTTAGAAGAGACCTCACAGTTCTGAGTATCACTAACTCCCACAAGCAGATTGAAGGTTCTCTACTACTTTTTTGAACAGAGACTTAAAATCAAAACTATTATTTTTAAAAAGAAAAAGAATTCTCCTGTGTATACTTATGCAAAATTTTTCTTCCCTGACCTTTTACAAAAAGAATGAAAAAACATCCATTCAGAGATGTCCCTTCTGTCCAGCTCTGGGTGTCCTCAACTCAATCCTAAAACTCAGTGGATGAGTCCCAAAATGCAACCTGCACCTTGGTTACACACCTCCTCCAATTTGGCATCAGCCCATAATGCTACCAAAAGGGGCACTGCCCCTTCTCTCACCGAAGGTTTATTTCCTGCGACATCACCAGCTTCACGCAACTGAAGATGAGGCTGCACAGGACAGCCTGAGTTAATGCAGCTGCTGGAATTTATCAGAGAAAGGTCTTGGTCTTCATTCCTTGCTCAAATGACCCACCCCGTGCCAGATTTAATGCTTGTGTGACCTCTCGAAAGGCTGTAGGCAGTTTCTGCAGTTAAATGGACTCAAGTCACTGAGGACCAGAACTGGAAAAGAGAGGGGCTATTTTCAAAGACAACTGATTATCTGCTTTATCATACTACAAACTAACAACCATGGCAGAAAGTCAGGTGCTGGGCTCCTGGGGGGAGCTGAGGAAGAAAGAAGGCAGTGAGAAAAAGTGTTTTCAGTATCCCTGAGATCAAGCTAAAAGTGCCTGGGGAACAAGGGTTTTCAGAAGTTCAGAGAAGATGTCCACAAAAAAAAAAAAAAGGATAATGCAGCCTGAGGTTATTTACTGGCTGATCTCCCCTTCAGGATTGGTGCACCTGAAGTTGCATTTTTACATTGTGACAGAAGATTCATCCTACTGGCTAACAGAGGGATGCATCTATGAAGTGTGTCTGAGTTGTCTGTGCTCTTAACCTGCATGAAACTCAGTGCCTGCTGTATTTGTTTAGCATCAAGGAGATAAAAGGTGACAAGCAGCCATATGTAGCAGCAACCAGCAATAACTGGCCAGCCAGATACTGCTGCGGGATAAAGAGCAAAATGTACAAAAAAATTATGAGAACAAAACAGTAAAGGAGGTTGTTATCAATACCAGATTATTCAGTGTCAGATAAAGGAAAGTTGAACACAAAAGAAAATTAAATCCTCAGTGGATGGCAATAATTTTGTAGGTGAGATGCAATAGCCATAAACACAAAGCAATGCACAAGTATACAGAAATTTAAGTGCACAGGCAGAGGGATGCAAAGCTATTAGCACACAGGAAAGAGAAAGCAAAACACCAGTTTTATCAGCCCAAAGTTCAACAGCAGTCAGAAAACAAGAAGAGTAAGAGGGATTATCAGGAAAGGAACATTATGGAAACATGAATGTGCTGCTGTACAACCCTGGGCAGACTCCTGTCTTGAAAGCAAGATACTTCAACTAGAAAATGTGCAGAGAAAGACAAAACATATGAGAAGAGATTAAACACATTAAATACTCATGAGGCTTGCGAAAAGATGACTGAGGAAGAAACACTGCTGGACACCATGACTAGCATGGAGACAGTGAAAAGGACAGGAAGAGGGAGGAATATCCAGGCAAAGTACAGCTGCAGGTTTCAAGGCCTTTCCCCACACATCTGCTACTGGCAGCTGCCAGGGGGCTTCTGAAGAACATAAATCTTCCACTGGACTCAGCACAGGAACACTTATACTATGTATGGGAATGTAGCCTATGGAGGGGGCCTTGGAGGTACTCTCTGACCACATAAGTCACAGATCCAGCACCAACTGCAAAAACAAACCACCTATAATTTCATCCACAATTCTTTTAAAACCCCTAATTTCCATGGAAGAAGCCATAACAGCCTGGACACCCTGAGCCTGGAACTTGTTTTCCTACTGCTGCAAGTGCAATGGAGGTTAGACTTTAAAACACAGGTGAAGGTAGTAAGTGAATAGCAGTCTGCTCCTGTCCATATGGATGTTCCCATCACCTACCAATTCATATTATATCCATTTTATTTAACAGGACAATACTGTGGGTTACCTAAACATGGAGGTCTATATAACAAAGTGCAAAACAAGCTTTTTTCACTAGCCAGAAGCATTATGAAAACCAACATTACAATATATTGCTCCACAAGGTAACTTCAAACAAAAAGAAAAGGTTAAGCTAAGATTCTTCTGTCACTAGCTCACTTTCTCTTCTGCCCCAGAACAAGGTTTCTCAACTCCTCCTCTGTGCCAGGACTAGCAACCTTAAACCACAGGGAGATGATGCAGCTGAAAAACAAGCCCTGTTCAGACTAACACAGGGCCACTGTACGGACACAGAAGGGATAGCGGAACCAGGAAGCCCGGGAGAAGATAAGACAAAACCTGTCTTACCAGTTAGGTTCAAGCCAAGTGTTACTGTGCAACTTCAAGTTATCCACATTTGAGCCAAATACCAGTTTGCACGGTGTTGCTTTCCTTAATGGAAAGCAGATGGGTAGTTCTCTGCAAACAACTGTAACGGTTTTGAAATTCAAGGAGGGGTTAAAGGAAATCTGGTTTTAACCAGCAGCAATAACTTGATAAACTGTGGATGCCAATGATCCATTGCAAGTATGTTTCTTTCATGTTAACATTCTGCTCAGTTTCCATCTTCAGGTAAGAGCAGTGAAATGCAATTTTGCTGCTTCATATTTATGTAAGTGATTACAAAAAGACAGTTTGTTTAGTTTTTTTTCCTAATTCCCTAACTCAGGATGAAAGTTGCAGCTGTTTTGACTTTCAGTGCAGCTTTTGGGCCTGAATGAATGCACATTTCAACGTGAGGAGGCAACTAAAGCATAACTAAGCAACTTACCAACTGTTCTGATTCTTATGAGAGACAAACAAAGTCTTTCAAATGAGACAGTTGGACTGTTCTTCCTGGTTTTCCCTATTATAACCCATGCTGCTAGTGAATCAAAGGGAAAAGGTTGGGGTTTTTTTTTTAATTGAGACTATCAATAGAGAAATATGTTCTTTAAAAGGCCCAATGTCCAATTTCTATTATTTGCATTAACCCTGGTGACAAAGGAAACTAAGATTGAGCTGTAACAATAGGAAGGATCCTTGTATTGTCGTCTGGCTTTGAAGCCAACAGAGTCTGTATTTCCTACTGTCTGCACACAAGATCACTTCAAGAACTGGTAGGAAGAGGTGATTACAAAGCTGCCAGCATGAATTTACATCACAGAGAAAAAAAAAAGTCTGGTGTTTTATTTTCATTGTCCTTTTCTTCTTAACAGAGAAGCACAGTAAGAATTGTTGCATTTAGCTTTGACATTAAAAAAAACAACTTCTGTGCCTGTTTACAAGGTCAGAAGATCCTCAGCTATGCTGCTATGGTGGTTGTGAACATGCATTTTTTGGCTACATGCATCAGAATAATCCATCTTACCTAAAATAACAGATGGATGCAGCAATTCATGCAATATGCAAGTGTTTTACAATGTTCTTTCCTTTGATACGGCATAAATAAAGAAAACAGGAACGATGCATTATTGCCTAACTCTGAGTCAGAAAGCCTGCTCTGAAACACCGTGTGCACACACATAACCAGCCCCAAGCCACTGTAAGTGCTTCTGCAGATTATATTTCTATTGGGAGTGCAGTCCTGGAAATTCCCCAATTACACCAATAAAACAGTTCCAATATACAATTACCACACATCCAAAATAACAATCTATGAATTTCTTCAACCAACCGGACTCAAGTGTCCTGTCATTTTTAAGTCAACTTTGTGGTGTTTCATTGAGCCTAACTTAAAATTAATTTAAATACAAGCTAAGTGAGTGAAAGTGAAAAAACACAGGACAACACTTGTTCTGCAAATACATGCCAGACATGTCAATGTCAAGCTGTCAGGGTAGTTACAATTTGAATGGAATCCCACACTTTTCAGTCCAGATTTTTCAAAAACCTCCCTCAGGATCTACTGTCAATTAGAAACTACTCAAAAGACAAGTGGATAGGAATTAAAGAGCAACACACTAGGATGAAGAAGGAATGCAGCTAAACAAACAATACCAAAATTAAGTGCTCCTTAAATAGCTGTGATATAGATACAGACTGCAGGAATAATAATTGCAAAGTTAAACTTGTGTCCTGCAAATGGAGCAGCTGTTAAACACAGTAGGATCCCTGCCAAGGTCAACAACTGCCCAAATGATCCTATGAAACAACCTGCCAAAATGATGTTGGGAAACAAAGTCCTTGATGCTTGGAAAAAAGAAAATACCCAAACCTAACTTTGCCACTGTAACAGTATTCTCACTTAGGTCCACAATATTAGGTTCCCAGCTGGTGGGAACAGTGGTTTTGGTTGCAACTTGACAAACTGCTCGTAACATAAACCTTTATTTTTCACTGTAGGAATCATACCTGCTTTATAGCTTGTTGAAGTTTTTCCAAATTTATTTCTTTGGCTTCTTTTAGTAATGTCTTTTCATCCATCTTTAACATAGAAACTCTGTACTGGCATAGTTCCACCACAACTACATCAGGCTGCACTTCTTGTATTGTCTGAAAAAAAAGAATTTATTTACACTGCTTTAGAAAGGAATAAACAGAAATGCAGCCAATATCAATATAAAGAGAAAAGGGACTTAAAAAGCACATTCCAACAATCATTTTCAATTAAAAAACCAGTGGAATAGTAAATAAGACTTCTCCAAATATCTATGTATTGAGAAAAATATTAAGGAAGCAAACTGCCTTAGTTCCTGGATGCTGTGGGACAGGAAGATGAAGAACACATTGTGCTGGGGAGGGGAGCAGGAAAAAAACACTTGATGTTAAACTTTTCACATTCACAAAATTAATTTGACCATACTCTGTGATTATTTGCAATCTGAGTAAGAACCATGGTTGATGATTCTGGCACAAGATTCCTCCCCCTCTAGCTCCTGGATAATAAAGCCACTCTAAACTGCAGATTTCACATGAGGTACAGTATGAAATTGTTCCTACTTGCACCATTCTTGAGACTGGATCCAAGTTTGGGACAGCATGGTTTTACAGCCAAGTATTATACAGGCAACGTAAGTTTCACTAGTGAGATTTCAACTTGCAACACTGACACTGTATTGGCATTTTTTTTTTAAGGACAAATAAAAATATTTGAGATGGGAGAGCAATGTATTGCATCAAAAATTATTATTATACATGTCTGCCTCTCATCCCACAGTGCTGGTAGCCTTTCAACTAGAAAAAACAGAGCCTGAAGGTTACAGTACATAACCAAGTCAGAGAGCTAGACTTTATTCTACTCAATGCTAAGTTGACAACATTATAAACATACTGCTGAAGGGCTCACACTTAGCATTTACCTTTACTACATCCTTTTTGCTGCTGTCACTGAAGTGAGCTGTTCCAACCACATACACTTTAGAACCATCCTCAGTGTCAAGCTCAGTCACAGTGCTTGGTAAAGCAGGCTTTTTCTGCCTCTTCTTCAACTTCATCTCCAGGAGAATTTTAAATGCATCTGCATCAGCTATAAGTGTAAAGAAAAACAAAAGAAAAGCCCACATGATATAAAGTGCAGGTAAGTAAAACAGAAAATAAAAATGTCGCCACTAAACAGCAGAGCAGAGCTAAAAGGCCATTGATTTACCACTGTAATCTTACATTCAATTCTGAGGCTACATCATTGAGAGTGCCATCACTGGAGAGGCTGCCTCCAAGCATGGGTCTCAGTCCAGGTTTCCTACCCTGTGGACACTGGGACAGGTTGTCCACGCAGTTCAGTAAGGGAAAGAGAGAAGCTGTGTGGCAGGTGAGGTGGATAGAGAAGCAAAGAATACTTAGAAAAGGTATACACTAAATTAGGAAAAAAAAAAAAAGAGCATTTTTTAAATTCTAAAACAAAATTGTCCCCTTTTGGGATTTTATCTATATAAAAGATAGCAACACACGTACACTGGTGTGACTGTGCTGGCAGTCAACTGCACATATTGGCACACACAGGATACCTACAGTACCAACCTTAGCCTTTTCCGTGATTAACACACCAGAGATCAGTACACAATTAAAAATTAAACCTCAAGAGGTAGTTAGGTCAGGAAACCGATCATTTTTCCCTAGTTTCAACAAACTATTTAAGATCAAAACGGTACAAGGTGAGTTTAGCTCATCTATGTCAAGACTGCCATATGGAAAATAGGAGGATCTATCAGTTCTTGTTGCTTGTTAAATGCCAGATAGCCTCATTAACTGAGATAGAGAAGCTTCAACTCTACATCACTGGAAAATATAGTCACTTTGAATGAGTATCTTAGAGCTGTAATGCATCTTAGAAAAAAAAGTATCAAGCAGGAAAGCAGAGTTTTGTTTCCAACCAACTCTCTTTCTCTGGCAAGCTGCTGTACAAGTTAGCAGAGGTCTCAAGTGGTCTCCAGAAGCCTGGAATAGGATCATAATCCCAGGGGAAAAAAAAAAAGGTTAGTGAACAGTTTGCAGGCAGGATGTCAAAGATGCAGATAAATTAGTCTCCTACCATACATTCATTTCATGAATCTGGTTTAACTGTGTGGTTCTGGCCCCAGATCTGTCCCACAAATACTTATCTCATAAGACTTTACGTAAAAAAAACAACAACAACAACAAAAAAAACCAAAAACACCCACAAAACCAAAACCAAACCAAATCCAAAAGCCCCCACCCAAATAAAAAAAACCCAACAAACAAAACCCCCCACAAATTAAAAAAACCCCACTCAAAACAAAAGCAACCTTTCAACATCCTTCTCAGTCAGAATTTCAGCAGCCTATGACTTCACACTCAATACCCAAGAACATGGTGTGTTGCAATCAGTACTGTCTGAGCTAAGACAATGTTGCTGCCAAAGCAGATGGTGATGCTAAGGAGAAGGTAGGGAAAATGACTGAAAAAGGGAGAAGAGGTAGAGCTGTTGCATTTGTAGCACTCTCAGTCACGTAATAATAAAACCAGCCATGGTAGGTCAAACAAAATCTACCTAAGCAAATATCCTGCCTCCCACAATGGTCAAAAGTGGTTGTCTAAGGGAGAATATGATAAATGGGGACGTGTGCACATACTTGCCCCAAATACTCTCCTAGCCTAAAGATATTTATGGTTCAGATTCCCCCAGGTGAAAGCGGTTTCTACATGTTCGGTAACTTTTAAAGGATGTAACTTGTATTTATTTTTCAAGCCTTCCCCTCATATATGTGCTCAGAACTGGACTGAACAATGTTTCATGTGAAGAAAAACTGCTGTAACGGTGTAGTACTAGATGTTATAATTTAAGGACATAATCAAGGAAAACATTCTCAGGAACAGCAATGGTTTTTATTTAAACCAACTTCTATATCTGGAGGAAAAAGTAATATAAATTAATCTGCTTCTTTATGTCTGAATATATTTCCCATAGCTTTAGTCAAGGCTCTGTTTGCTCCCATGAAAGCTGAGATCCCTGGGGATTATTCAGCAACTTCAGCATTATAGTAATTTTGCTGTTACTAATTTGCCCTAAGGCAGTTCAGAGCCTATTATTTGCCAGAAAGCACAATCTGAATGTTACTATTGTTATAAATGAGCACTGTATACATTAATATCACAACAGTATATCAATATATATACAGCAAATCCTAAGAAGCCTTTGTTTTCTCCTCCAGAGAAAGAAATGCCTGCCATTATTTGATCCTTACCAATGACAGGGGAGGATTGATACACTTCCTTGGCTTCACAGGACAGTTTTGGTTGGAATACTTCTGTTCTTAAATCCTGCAGGATTGGCCTTCATATCAAAACATTATCATGCTAGCATGGGCAACGCATTCCATTTGGGACAACTGATCAACATTGAATCACTAGATGCCAGACTGCTGAAGCAAACCATACTTATGCATCAGTGGCTTAGTAAGCAATGACTGAGCTCAAAACAGTATCTGAGTGTATGTATTAAATCTTAAAATATTTACTTTCTTTTTAAAGTATGGGATCAGCAAACTGACAATCGATATGTCATTACTCTTTCTAAATTTGATTTACACAACTGGGCCTTGAAACAAATCATGAACAGATTAAGTCAGATGTGACCTTATTCACACCTCCCTTTGTGCTAACAGCCACGTCCATATTAGGTAAGGAAAAGTTAAGGACATTTAGTTTAATACACTTCCAACGTGATACACCCTCCCCAGTCAAACCAGAAACATACAGATATTCTGCGATACACTGGACGTTTCCTTTGGGCCATCTTCTGGTGCATCAGAGGAGGACATTGGATCTGCAGCAGCCTGTACGAAACAAATTCAAAAGGAGGCTGGGAATTATAATGAAATGTTTTAATACATCTTTCCCTTTGTGAGTTTGTTCAATTTGAACCTACATATAATATTCAAACAAGTAAATAATTTAAGCAGTGTCACAAGTCAAAACATCTGTGGTTTTACAACTAATTTTCCCAGCTGCATAAGTATGAGAACGAACATATTAAAAACTACTTCATGCCTATTTTACAAGATAGTACTTATACCTGATGTGGAGCTTTAAAATAAATTGGATTCTAAATAAAAAGAACAAATTTATCTATAACACTACTATAGCATTTTCTGTGTTGGAAACTAAAATGTGCACTGATTATTTTAATACCATTTAACTCAACTACCAGTCAGCATTAGTCTGTCAGGAGTCTGAAAGTTAATCAGCACTCACAAGACTAAATACATCCATTCCAGAAGAGTCAGGCCAGGTATTTTATTTGTTGGAATAAGTGTAAGGCAATTACACAAAATGTACACCCAACCTTATAAAGTTTAAGTGCATGATGACTTTATAGATATATATTAGAAATCAAAGTCAAAAAGAAACACAGCATCTGCATAGTTTTGCCCTCTAAAGGATCAGCAGGTAACTGAAAAGATTCCCTAAGACTGACTCTTACGTATTATCACTAGAAGGACATGATGTGGGTCTTTGGCTAACAAAAACCTTTTTTATTTTTAATTAACAGGCAAGTTTTAAAACCTGTGCATAGAATCCAATCAATCCTAGTCATTCAGCCAGTGTCATCCAAGCCAGAGAGGCAGAGTTAGTGCAGAAAAGAGACATAAGAATAAGGGAAAGCTAAACCATAAATTATCTTTAGGCACCTACATTAATTCAAAGTTTAATCAAAACGATTATTGGGAGAATTTGGAATTCCTGAACAACATTGAGTCAAAAAGTTAGAGACTGGATGCAAATCCATCATTATTCAAGTACTTTCCAAGTGAAAGGCAGTATTAATGAGTCAGCAAGCAGGCAGCCAAGCTCTCCTGAAGGATGCCAGCCTTTCAGCTAAAATGACTGCTTTATTTACTTTGTACTTAACTTGGTAAGATTTAAAGCAAGACTGTACAAAGTACATCCAATTGTTAAGAGCTTTCAACAAGAGTAATTATTTTCTTCTTGTATTCCACTATGCCAAACAGGAATTTCCAGAAAATAAAGCCTGGGTGTCTTACCGTGGCCCCACTGAATGCAAGAAAAAATTTACGATACGTTTCATGGAGCAAACTCAAAAAGTAGAACAGCTTTACAGTGCAAAGATTAAAATACAGCAACAGATCATCCTTTCATTACAAAGCAAAAGTCTGTTCATTGACAACTGCAAACTGCAATTACACTGCAAACTGCAATTACATTCACAAATCCAATTTAACACCAGCTCAGCTTTTGATCACAACATATGGCTTGACTCTATTGCTTGCATACGTTAACTCTAGTCACAGAAATATTTTGGAAAAATTTATCCATCTGTAACATATGGAATTAATTCTCTCACTTATGCTGGCTTTGTCATTGTAGGATCACAACACTGCAGAGAGAAAAGCACTAAGCCACCGCATGAGGAGTCTGTTGTTCTTTTTTTTAAATTAATTAACAGGACAAAAGAACTGACATTCTTATGTCTCATAAGATAAAAATTTCCTGAACTTTCCCTATTATATCAGAAAAAAGTTTTGAGATGTATGGATATGAAAGGAGAAGAGAAGGAACAGGAAGGGTAGAAAAAGCACGTCACTTTAATGTGGCAAGGAACTTAAGCCATGTACAGTGAGATGATTTGTATCTAAACAATTTCTTTAATTTACTCACAAAACATTTTTTCCTCCTAAATGTTTAATCTCATAGGCTAGGCTATTTTCTGCAATTCCCCACTTGCAAGTAGGTTAATACAAAATACCCTATTTAGCTTTTGCAATTGATGGGAAAAGAACCTAAATGTGGTAAAAAATAGCACTCATCTCCCCATCTCCCTGTTTTAAAAGGGGTCTCACGCTGGTATTTTCAACCCTACAACTCTGCAGAACTTGCCCAAGGATGAGTGGAAGAACCTGGCTGATTCAGTCTTGACATTCCCTGCAATTATATTGAGAAACAGACTTGTCTCCAAGCCCTACCTCAGGCTGTTGCTCCTCTTGCATCCCTGCAGCGGAGGCTTATTTTCACCAACCACACAAGAACTGCAAGAAGTAAAGGTAATGAGAGAGAATTAAAAATTAATGGCATCACTCAGAATACTTGCTTAAAAACTGTAAGGGGGAAGAAAAAAGTAAATGTGTCTCTATAGTGTCAAATAAAGGTTGAAGTAATAAAAGTGGCAAACTGAAGAAGCACAAACGTCACTTACTCAACTGTCCTGCTGTTAAAATAACCACATCAAACAACAAAAACAAACCAAAAGCAATCCCTCCCCATCAGTAGGGTAGAACTAGCCTGTTTCAGTATGGTTCTTGAGGTGGCTCTAAATCCAGAGCACAGTCCTGTTCTCACACACACTGAGAGTATCTTAATAAACACAGGTGGATTTCATGGGAACTTGGAATTTGCTTTTTTTACTGTCTTAAAAATGCCTTTTTCCTCCAGAACAGTTCATAAGTAATTGAAGATATAGTTGTCAAAAGGGTTTTTGCAATAGCAAAATAGTTCTGTCTTGTAAAACTACACCAAGACAGTTTTTATGCAAATTTTAGGAATCATCTGTATTTCTAGGACTTCACCCCTACACAGAATAGGAGAGCAGCCACAATCTTAATATTCAACTAGAGCCACATACATTGTTTGATCAGCATCCTGTGATCACATATATTTACAAATATGCCAGGGTCAGAACATCAGTAAGATTGTGTCTGTGTGAAAAACCCAGGAAATTTGGTTTTCAAACCCTTAGTGAATGGTTTCCATGTCTTAGTTTAACAATATGGATGAAAGAAGGAACCTTAAAAGTCCAGAGTTTTTCCTGAAGCTGGAGAGTGCTATGTTCTGACTTGGGTGGTACTCTAAGGAGATTGCACAAGGCACTGAATGCATGACTAGCACTAATTCTGCTTATTCTCACTGCTATCCCACTAAAATTGAAGCGCTCAAAGAAAGTGCTGCTTCTTTATTACAACATTTTGGGTTATCTCCCTTTGACTTGTTTCACAGTATATGTGAACAGTGTTTTATTTCATTAGGCTGCAGAGCAGTCCTGACCAATTTAGTCATACAACACATTTGCTCTAAAGAGTGGAGGGACAAGTCTGGCTCCTGCCCTATGCTCAGGTGATGCTGGAGGAAAGCTGGGTGGCTGGCTATCTGTA